TGTTGGTGCTGTTTGGCCCTTAGTTGAAGAACAGCAGGCCCAGTCAAAGGAAAGGGGCTTTGCATGAAGTCTTGTTCAGCGGCCCACCTAGGCTACTCTGTGTCAGTGCTCACCGTGCTTAGGAGTGTCCTGAGATTCTGCAACGTTCCACTCTTTGGAGCGCTGCCCTGACCATTCCTAGTAGGTGGGCAGCCCCACATGAACAGATGGACTGGTAAAGGGCCACACAAGACAGCTGGACCTAATCCTGATCACGGAGTTCCTTAGAAGGATCGAATGAACTCTTGCTCGTTTTGCGAGATCCCCCTGGGGCATAGGTAGAAAGTTGAAGATACAGGTCCTGTCCTCCAGGATCTTGCTGGATTCTGCAACCTAGTGTGATGAGTACTCTGGCTGGGGTGGAAGTTGGAGAGAGAAAGCAATGAGTATGTGAGCACAAGATAGGGTACCCATGAGCAGAGAAAGATGGTCAGGAAAAAAGTTGAGGGCTGGGGAGGAAGTAGCCGAGGAGCCCTGGTGGCACAGCAGGTAAGTGACAGCTAGTCACCCAGCAGTTTCAGAAGCCACCCAGCAGCTCTGTGGGATAAGATCCTTAACAAATGATTCTTCAAAGATCACAGCCAGGAAAACCTTATGGAGGAGTTTTATTCTTGTTACATGGGGTGACTGAGTTGAAATCGGTTAGATGGCACACAGCACCGTTGATGTGCTAGAAGGATTGAGGTGAGGAAAGGGAGAAAACATGTCCAACAGGGACTTGAGCTCATGAGTGGATTCAGGGAGCTGTAAGTGGGGTTGTAGCCAGAGTCAGCAGGAAGAGGGTCACATTTATAATACCTTTATGAGATAGTATGGTTACATTTTTTCATAAAACTCAGAGCAAGGGAAGAATATGAGGAAAACAGTTCCCCTCCCCTCATTGTCATTGTAGAGAACCTGAAGAATACAGTAAAGAAAAAAAAAAAAGACCAGTGATTAACAACATTTTGGGATATTTATTTGCACATAGATTTGCATACATTATCAAAAGTAAGGTTATTTGACACATGGACTCATATCTTAGGATGTCTCACTTTGCATATGAAAGAAACTCATTTCACACCTAAAAGGAAGCTGTGTAGCTCACTATCAAGTCTCAAGCTAGCAGTCAACTGGATGATCCATTGTTCAGAGATGGTATTACGCAGCTATACATGCTACCTGCTCAAAACTGGCCACCCTTAGCAATAGAACATCTGCTTCCAGTGCATATGGAGGAAGAAATGTCTTCCTGTGGTGATAATTTGATCTTCAGAGCGAAGAGGAACCACTTTAGAATGGGCAGGACTTGTTCGAGAGCCAGTCACTTCTTGCCCAAGTTGCCTTGCTGCAATTAAAAGGGGCCTACATGAAATTGGGGGTGACTTTGAGCAAGCCCACCCCAGCACCCACCATGGAAGTGCAAAAGATTAAATCCTCTTGGAAAACTAGCAGGTTGCTGCTCATTCTGCACCATCCATACACAACTATTTTTCAAACTGTTTTCCCCCCAGTATTTCCCTTCAGATTTCTAATGAATTAC